TACGGGGTTCAACACGTTCATTATGTCAAACATGTTAATTGTGTTCAAATGTATATACTTACTGTTTTTCTGCTAAAATTGTGTTAATTTTCCACAAAAATGTTGAATTTATCAATTTCTCCTTATAATTCATTAGTTTTATACATTTGAAGCTATATTAGGTCCATGCAATTTGTAATCTTTGTACCCTTCTCATAAATATAATCTTTTAACTTCTTTATCTCAAAAAATATTTTATTGCTGGGCGCCTGGGTGGCTCAGTCGTCGGGTGTCTGCCTTCGGCTCAGGTCGTGATCCCAGAGTCCTGGGATCGAGTCCCACATCGGGCTCCCTCCTCGGCGGGAGGCCTGCTTCTCCCTCTCCCACTCCCACTGCTTGCGTTCCTACTCTCGCTGTCTCTGTCAAATAAATAAATAAAATCTTTAAAAAAAATTTTATTGCCATAATGGTTTTGTCTTTTGGTTAGTATTTGGCAGGTATAGCTTCCTCCTTCCTTTTACTCTAAATCTTCCTGTGTCCTAATGTTATAGATATGCCTCACATAAATGGCAGAGAGCTGGATTTAAAACAATTCAATCTTCAATATTTGTCTTTTAATTAGGATATTTAGTCCATTTGTAAATAATTGTAATTACTAGTGTATGTGGATTTATAATATTTTATCTTCTTGTCCAACTTTCTTTACATTAATCTTTTATATTTTGTTTTGCATTCTTGTGGGTTGATTTTTCTTTGATTTTTTTCCTCTGCTGATCTGTGAATGCGACAGAAACCACTAGTGCTTTCTTTTTTTTTTTTTAAGATTTTATTTATTTGACAGAGAGAGACACAGTGAGAGAGGGAACACAAGCAGGGGGAGTGGGAGAAGGAGAAGCAGGCCTTCCACTGAGCAGGGAGCCCGATGCCGGGCTGGATCCCAGGACCCAGGGATCATGACCTGAGCTGAAGGCATGCACTTAACGACTAAGTCACCCAGGCACCCCCCACTAGTGCTTTCTAATAACTGTGTTCTCTGTTCTTCCGGCCTTTTTGTTCTGGCCAGTGGAATGTGGACAGAAGTCATATACTCCACATTCAGATCTGGCCTGTAAAACGCATTCTCTTTCTCTATCCACCAGATCGCTGGCAAAAACTCCAGAATCTAGAGAAGGGAAGAGCACCAAGATGAAAGAAGTCTTGGTTCTTTAATGACTGGATGTAGAACACTCTCACCCTTATTCCAGCCTATATTGTACTATATTCTGATGTAAGCAGGAAATAAAATCTTATTGTACGAAGTCACTGAGACTTTGTATTGAAACTGTTAGAGAAGCTATCATTTACCTTAACTAATACATAAATTATAGATTGTTTCTTTTTTCGTAGTTACTCTTGAAATTTTAACATGCATCCTTATCAAAGTCTAAAGGTCAATATTATATTTGTCATCCTGCTGAGAGGAATACCCTATCTCTAGCTAGGTACGATTCTTTCCAGTATTTTTGTTCATCACTTTTTTTAACCTTACAAATTAACCACTGTTATTACTGCTTTATGAAGTGAGTATGTGTTCACATTTACCCACATTATCATTAGTTTCTTGGCTTGACATTTCTTCTGTCTCAGGTCTCAGATCTTCCTTCTCAGATCATTTTCCTTTTCCTTGAAGCACATACCTTACCAAAGATTTGTGAGTGGAAAATTGTTTTGTTCACCTGAAAATAACTGTATTTTGCTTTGTTCTTGAGGAATAGTTTTTGCTGGATTTATAATTCTTTTTTTAAGATTTTATTTATTTATTTGATAGAGAGAGAGACAGCAAGAGAGGGAACACAAGCAGGGGGAGTGGGAGAGGGAGAAGCAGGCTTCCCTCTGAGCAGGGAGCCCGATGTGGGACTCAATCCCAGGACCCTGGGACCATGACCTGAGCCGAAGACAGTCGCTTAATGACTGAGCCACCCAGGTGCCCCTGGATTTATAATTCTAAACTGACAGTTATTTTCTCACTTCTTGGCAGATACTTTCCCACTACCTGGCTTCTCTTGCCATTGAAAAGAAACCAGCTATGAAATAGTTATTCCTTTGTAAGTAATGTCTTTTCTGCCAGGTTGCTCTTTAGATCTATTTTTGGTGTGCTCCAGTTTCCTTTTATTTATCCTTCTTTGGATTTGTTGTGCTCCCTTGGTGCAAGGATTTCTATCTTTCCTTGATTTTGGAAAGTGTTCAGCATTTTTCTCTTTGCAAATTGCCTCTTCCCTATTCTTCCAATGATCACTTTCTGGAGCCCCTATTACACGTATGTTAGACTTTCTCCTACTACCCTCCATGTCTCATAATCTCATATATTAAACATTTAAAAATTTTTAATTCAACTATAATTAACATACAGTGTTATATTAGTTCCAGGTGTACAATATAATGATTCAAAAATTCTATACAGGGCGCCTGAGTGGCTCAGTTGGTTAAACGACTGCCTTCGGCTCAGGTTATGATCCTGGAGTCCTGGGATCAAGTCCCACATCGGGCTCCCCCTTCTCTCTGGGGAGCCTGCTTCTCCCTCTGCCTCTGCCTGCCACTCCCCCTGCTTGTGCTCACTCTCTCTCTGTGTGTCAAATAAATAAAATCTTTAAAAAAAAATAAAAAAAGAAAGAAATTTTAAAAAATTCTATACAATGCTCATCAAGATAAGTGTAATACTGGGGCCCCTGGGTGGTGCAGTCGGTTAAGCGTCCGACTCTTGGTTTCTGCTCGGGTCATGATTTCAGGGTTATGAGATCAAGCCCTGAGTTGGGCTCCATGCTCAGTGCAGAGTCTGCTTGAGATTCTTGATCTCTGCCTCTCTTCCAGGTTGTGTTCTCACTCTCCCAAATAAATAAAATAAAATCTTAAAAAAAAGATAAGTGTACTCTTGATCCCCTTTATTTCACCCATCACCCCACTGACCTCCCCCTGGCAACCACCAGTTTGTTCTCTGTATTTAAGTCTGTTTTTTTGTTTGTCTCTTTTTTGTTTGTTTGTTCATTTGTTACTTAAATTTCACATATGGTTAATCTCATATTTTTAATACTGTAGTTTCTCTGTACTATATTACTGGTAATTTCTTTGATTTGTCTCTTCCTAGTTTTTTTTTTTTTTAAGATTTTATTTGACAGAGAGAGACACAGCAAGAGAGGGAACACAAGCAGGGGGAGTGGGAGAGGGAGAAGCAGGCTTCCCGCTGAGCAGGGAGCCCGATGTGGGGCTTGATCCCAGGACCCTGGGACCATGACCTGAGCCGAAGGCAGACGCTTAACGACTGAGCCACCCAGGCGCCGCTCTTCCTAGTTTTCTAATTGGTTGTTTAACCCATCTATTGATGTTTTTAATCTTCATGATTTTTTTCATCTCTAAAAGTTCTTTTTGGTTCCTTTACAAATACCCTGATGGTTTCTGAGAGTCTTTTGTACCTCTTAATTTAAACTTTTTGTCTTTTTTTTTTTTTTTAAGATTTTATTTATTTGTTTGAGAGAGAGAGAGATGGTGAGAGAGGGAACACAAGCAGGAGGAGTGGGAGAGGGAGAAGCAGGCTCCTTGCTGAGCAGGGAGCCCGACACAGGGCTCCATCCCAGGACCCCAGGATCATGAACTGACCCAAAGGCAGATGCTTAACAACTGAGCCACCCAGGCACCCCTGTCTTTAAATATATTAAGCATATTTTAGTTTATATTACACACCTGATAATTCCAGTACGTTAGGTCCATGCAGCTGTGATTCTGTTACTTGTTGTTTCTGCTAATCCTCCCTTAGGGTACCTTTTGCCTTGGATGTTTTATGATTTCTTTTTCTGAGCTCACGTTCATGGAATTCTATGAGGCTTGGTAGAGGTTCTGTTTCCCCCAGAGATCATTTATATTTACTAATGACAGGTGCTGGGGGCAAGGTGCTATCCACTAAGCACCTTTTATATTAATCTCAACTTGGGGGGTGCCTGGGTGGCTCAGTTGTTAAGTTGTTTTCTGATATGTTTTAAGTGTCTTATACTATGGTGTGTCTTGTTTGTCTTATTTTGTTTTCACCTTGCCCTAAATGAAGTATTCCTTGGGTCTTCAGTCTCTGAAGTTAACCTCTACTCTCTCTCATTCCCTGCCAAATATCCTTCCATCAGGCTCCTAGACAACCATAGTAAAAATATATAATGTGTAAAGTTTTAAGTCCCTTGGTAGACTTGGTAATCAACTATTCCAAGTATTTAAGAGATACACGAGGAAGTCACCAATTATTAGCCACTTTGCCATAATTAGTGAATCTACTGCTTTCTGAGAAAACTGTCGCTGTTTGTTTAGGAAGGACTAGGCAGAGAGGGCCTGGGATTCTAGCATTTGAATTGAACAAAGTCAATGGAAGGCAAGAATGGGAGTTGGGCATTTTTTTTATGACAAAAGCAAAGTTCCACTGATGTAGTTACCAGCATCATTTTTACCTTAGTTTCATAGGGATCAGACCTGACACAGACCAATTCCAAGAGGAAGGCAGCCTAGGAGAAGTAGGATCAGCAGTCACCATCAACCAAATACTGGAAGTCAAAGAATACCATTATTATGTGTCTGGTGAGGGCAAGTATAGGAGATGCAGAGAATGGCTGCTGTGTTAACCGCCATCTGGTCAGAAAAAAACTTCCCCAATCCAGGAAAACAAAATGTCTTGGGTCCAGTTACATTAGCAGGTGCTACTTTTACCTTTTCTAATGTCAAGTTGCCTGCGAGAGAGTTCCACTTTGAAAAAGAAGTGATGTTTTGGGGCGCCTGGGTGGCTCAGTCGGTTAAGCGACTGCCTTCGGCTCAGGTCATGATCCTGGAGTCCCGGGATCAAGTCCCGCATCAGGCTCCCTGCTCAGCAGGGAGTCTGCTTCTCCCTCTGACCCTCCCCCCTCTCATGTGCTCTCTCTCTCTCATTCTCTCTCTCAAATAAATAAAATCTTTAAAAAACTGAAAAAGAAGTGATGTTTTTGCCAAATAAACCAAGTCTTTATTTCCAAGATGAATTACTCACATGGCAGAGAGGTTTTTCCTTGTTGCTTATCTATTTTATTAATCTTCTTTTGACTTTTCCTCACCTGAAGCCGTGGATTGGACTTTGGTGAGTTCCCTTTAGCTTCAGGTTTGAAGATAACCGTGGTCCCACTGTGAATCATGGAGACTGTGAAATCCACACCAATGAGTGTGTACAAGAAGTAGGCAGGGATAGGCAAGATGGTAATGATGATGAGGATGATGAGCAAGACCTTAGCCCATGATGGATAAATTCGGATCACCTCATTTGACTGTGGAGAAAGGGAAGGTTTAGAATACCCAGGTTCTCTGAAATGGAAGGCTACAAAGGCTGGGGGTAAGACATGAACCAAGGCCAGAGACTAGATAACTGAATCCCTAAGGGAATCAGGGAATAAGGTGACAGTCTTAGAGGCCAGAAGAGATTGAAAAGTCCTCACCCACTCCCACTCCCTAGGGGGGTCTTAGAGGAAGGCTCACAATGCTTGAGTCCCAGGCCAAGTAGGTGATGGTCTTCAGAGACAGATGAAGCAGGGTGCTTACAAACAGGACTAGCAGCACAAATGGAGACAGAAAACACCACAGCCAACGATAGATGGGAGAGATGGGGTGGCCCAACATGATAATCAAGTCTGCAAGGAACCTGGGAGGAAGGGCCACAAGGGTTTGGGGGAGCCTGTTCAGGCCTTACCCAGCCCTGGGGAGGGGTCAATCCAAACTCAGCCTGGGAGACAAAGCTTCACATTTCTTAAACCTTTCTGTTCACCTCCACAACCAGTTTTCTTGCCTCTAATTCATCACCTTTCAGTCTGATTTCTGTCCCAGCCCCATGATTTAAAAAAACAAAAAAAATTTTCTCTCCTCCATCACCCTCAGGATAAAAGCCAATATATCCAGTCTCTGAATGTAGTTTCTTTATGCCCATATAGCCAGGTTTCTTTGGTGCACCTTCTTAACTCCAACATATGTGCACATTGGTTTCTTTTGCTTAGAATGCCCTTTCTTTCTTTCCCTTGACAAACTCCCCTTCCTCTGTCTAGATTCTGTTCAAGCATCCTCTCCTTGCCTTCTTTAGATAACCATCTGTGTTCCCAGAGTGCCCTCAGCTGCCTATGATAGATAGGCTTACTATCCTGCCCCCAAATCTACCTTTGTTTGTCTCCTTCTTTCAACTCTGAGAGCAGAAACTCAATGTAATTTATCCCAGTATCCTCAGTGCTCACAAGGCCTGTCTGGTCCTTGGGCACACTCTGGGTAATATGTGAGAGTAAGTGTATGATCAGCAAACTGATGCCAAGAGCCACCATCACCTAGAAACATCGCCACATTTAGATTACACACTGTTTCTCAAATATTAGTGTGCATACAATTTACTTGTGGTTCTTATTAAAATGCAGATATGGATTCGAAGGTCTGGGGTACAGCCTGAGGGTCTGCATTTCTAATAAACTCCCAGGTGATGCCAAAGCTGCTATTCCAGAGCACACTTTGAGAAGCAAGGAATTACATGCCCACACCACCCTGGTTAAAAGTAAGGCTCAGGAGCCCCTAGGACTTGATAGGGACCGTCCACCACTTTTCCATTCTACACCTGTTTTCTCCAGGAGTCAGCCCATGCCTTCTCCTTCCCACCTCCCTGGGGGCTCTCCAAAAGCCCTGGGTCAGAGGTCTGACAGTGACAGCAGGAGGGCCAATACTCCCTAGGGGACCTCACTGTGTGGGTGCACGGCTGCAGATTCTGGGCTTGGGGCATCACCTCCTGGCTCCATAGATCCAGGCCATGGCTATGTTCTCCAAGATGACAACGAAGAACAGGGGCAGAGATACCCAGTAATCATCCAGCAGGTTCACATAGTAGCTACCCGAAGACGTCACGAAAATGAGGCTGCCCAGGTACATAGGCACACAGACGCCCACTGAGGGAAAACATCAGATTTGGATCAAGGTCAGAATTCATACTAGGTTGTGTAAGAGTCCCAGTAGGGTTAAGCTAAACAATGGTCCTAGGTGGGAATGGGGTCATAGGTTAGAGTACCTGTGAGCAGATTTGTATATTTCCTGAGGGAAGAGAAAGTGTCCCGGAGAGGGGTAACAATGCCCTGCATGATCCCGATCATGGTGCTCAGTCCCAGGCTTGCCAGCAACACGAAGATGATGATGGCCCAGAAGGTGGATCCAGAAAACACAGAGGTGATATTGGTAAATGCCACAATGGCCACACCGGGACCCTCCATAACCTGTGAGTGATGGCATGAAGGGCAAGAGCTCTGAGCTCACTCTGTAGAATCTGAACTGCATTCCTGTCCCCTCCCCTAGGAAACAATCTATAGCACCATTAATAGACATTGGGAAACTCATCTGGCCTTGAGGCAGGAGGACTTCATCTGACAACAGCTGCTGGTCTGGCAACTCTTTTGGGTTGGTATGAACATGCTTATATGAACTCCAGTGCTTGGTGCTACAGAGGCTACAACTGCCTTATTGCAATAGGGTACTGTGAACCTTGGTCTTGGTTGTCCAGTATGCTGTCAGGAATTGCCTTTCTGGATTCTAGAGACACCTATGGAGAGCTGAAGTTTCTGGTGCACCGGGGGTTTTGAAGGGAAGATAAGGACTCCATCCCCAACCCTTACCTACCTCCTTCAGTTCATGAGCTATGTTGCAATTGGTCATATAGGGTAGGACCGTGTCTTTGGTTTGTTTAGGGAGGCTCTTGAGCCACGTGGAGTAGATGGAGCTTGGATCATGATACATACTGTCTGGGGGGTGGGCCTCGGCAGGCAGCACCCCAGAAGCTATCAGATACAGCACTGTCTCAGCATTCCTGGAGACAGGGGTAGAATTACATAAAACCATTATGGCCCTTTAAGATAACTTCTCTTACCTTCTACATGAGAAGGAAAACCACTAGTCTAGAGTTTTTGATCTGCACTGAAACCTAGGTCTCCAGGGTCCCAGTGCTCACTGTCTGACACCTACTTTCATAAGGTGTCTGCCGGAGGCCAGAGAGTTTCTGACTTAAGTGGGGCCCTGGAGGGGGTCTTTCGTACAATGTCATGTAGGGCTTTAGGACCTATACCTCCTACTAGATAATCTTAGGACAATGTTAAAGCTTCTCAGCTTTCTTGACCTACTGGTCTCTCCAATCTCCTAACATATAACTCTTCACCTTCTCTCCTTCGGCCACACTCAACTATTCAACCTCCTCCAACCTGCCATGCTCCCCATCATCTCTGTATCTTTGGCACATGACATTCTCTCTGCCTAGAACCACCCCCACTCTGCTCCTGCTCAGTCTACCCCAATTCTACCACTATACGGTTCTCCATATGCAAATTCCTACAAATCCTCACTCAGCTCCCTGAACCCTATTTACTGCCATGGAAAGCTCTTCAAGATCCATTTCCATAAGAGCAAGTCAACAAGCTGCAAAAAAGTAGTATGGTATGATCCAATTTTTTTAATGGTATGTTTTTATATGTAGGTATATGAATAGGAAACATTTGAAAGAATACTAGCTGTGGTTATTTGTCAGGAGACAGACTGAGCTCAGGATTGCCTCCAGGAGGAAGCCTTCTCTGACTGCCCCAGGAAGTTAATAGCTTGCTCTTCTGTGTTTCTCATCATCCTTACTACCAGTTCTCATCTCCTTGTGATTATCTATTTAGTATCTGCTTCCTAAAAAGACTGTGGTTTTCCTGAGGGCAGGGATGACGGTCTGCTTTACCATTGGCTGTGTTTCCAGAATCCAACACAGGTTGCCAGATAGATGTTTTATAAATGTCTGATGAGAATTTTTAGAATGAATCTCACAGGAGAAAAAAAATCAGGAATGGGCTATGGGGACTATGGTGGGGCTATGAGTCCTTTTTATTTTTTCTTATCTAATGATTCTGCTGAAGCTATTCTCCTAATTTTCCATGGCAGACCCCAGTTAAGAATGGGGTGAACACAACTTTGAAAACCTCCAAGTTTGGGGCTTTCCTAGTTTAGAAAGGCTCTGAAGAAGTTGGAGAGATTCAGGTGTTTCAAAGGTTCAGGAGGCTCTAGTCTGAGGGTCCCACATTGACTGAGCCAAAAGCCCTGAGGGATGGGGGCCTAGACTGGAATTGTGTGAGCTATTTCTAAGACTTTGGTCTTTATGATGATCTCCATATGAAAGCCTGGGCTCACCTCAGGTAACATTTTTCATTGTTCTCTGTGGCCAAGTGGCCCATTATGGCAAATACAAACACCGTTGCAGTCAGTGAGGCCGTCAAGTTCAGAAGAGCCACAACAAAGGCATCCATGACACAGTTGTTGGACCGAGGGATGTATGAGCTGATTGCAGTGAAGCTGCCAAAGCCAGGGCCCATGGATAAAAAGAGCTGGTTCCCTGTCCGGCGCCACACTTGCACAGAGTACAGGGCTGGTACCTGGGGAGAAGTACTGTGTAAACTGGGATATAAAGGGAAGAGGAGTAAACCATGATATGATGGAAGATGAGAAGAAGGTGGTGAAGGAGGGAACCAGGAGGGCCTCTATCAGACTGACAACCATTCTGTCTCTGACATCCCCATGTGGATAAGAGGATCAAAGGGCAGGGGACACCTCACCTTGGCAGCCAACAAATTCTTGAGACCAAAATGTGCGCCTTCCAGCATGAGACTCCGGATAAGGAGACAGAAAAGGATGAAGTAGGGAAGGAGTACTGACACATACAGCATCTGAGTGGGAAGTATGATTCAGAAATAGAGGTTAGCAAAGGCAGAAGCTGGGACAGTAGGATCAAAGACTACTGAGAGTCAAAGGTCATATTAGAAGGAGTTAGAAGTTGGAGACCTACAGGCATCAAGTTAGGAGAATATTAGGGGGTCTCAGATAGAAGGGAGTCTATCAGATTATAAGTTAGAGGATGGCTCACCTTCCCAGTGGACTTGGGTCCTTTGATCATGGAGATGCAGATAATTAACCATGTCATAAAGAGAGAGACACTGAGATGCATAACTGGTAGTCCACCCATTTCAATTTCATCTGTAGCCTTCAGTACATTCCGGTACCAAAAGTATGTGGTGGGTGCTGTCCGCTCACATTCAGGATCTGAGGGGAACTGGCCATGGAGGAAACTGCAAGACCACGTGCCTCCCTCTTCCAATCCCCCTCCACCCCCTCCTTCCAATCTCCATCATCTTCCTGCTCATCCTTATTCTCTCAGTGACCCTCTTCCTTCCTCATTGCCCTATCCTTTTTTCAGCCCTCCCACTTGCCATTTTCTTCCCTCTCTTCTCACCAAAATCACTGGAGTTCCTCAGTAAGGGGCACATTGACCAAGGCAGTGGAGACTGGAAAGACTGAACCAAATAGAAGAGACTCCAAGCCATGAGCACACTGTAGTACAAACCCACGATGCAGCACACCTAGGAACCATGAAGAATTCTGGAGACAGAAGAAAGGTAGGCCAGCAGAAGGGAGGGGATTTGACCAGAGGACTGGGGAACTGAAGAGACGTGACCCATAGAAGTCAAGTCATGGGACCCATCCCAGGACAAGGAACTGTTGGGGTGGGAGTGGGGCATAAAGGGTAGGCCTGGGCAGCCCAGGACTCCTCACCATGAAGCTGGTGTACCCCACACCACCAATCCAGGGGCTGATGACCTTCCATACACCAATGCTGCCCTGACGCATCCTCTGACCAGCTGCCATCTCCAGAAATAGAAGAGGAACCCCGACCAAGAACAGCATGAGCATGTAGATGATGAGAAAACTGCCTGTGCAGGGAGTCAGGAGGGGCTTTGAGAACCACCTGGCTTTTCAGTGCCTGGACTTCCTTGGGGTCTGGCAAAACACGTTCCCCACCAGTGACCTCCCTCAGGGCCACCGGCATCAGGGCTCAACTGTTTCCACATCCCTCATAGTCCCAGGTGTCCCTTGGGTCCCCAGGTCCTGGAAGACCCAGATGCCTAGTTTCCACTCCCACCCTGAATCTCGGCCTTCAGCCCCACCATCCTCATGAACCTAAGTGTTCAGATATCCTATTCCCATCCTAGGTGTTCAGGTACCTGGCTCCAGCGTTGGTGGTATAGTGGTGAGCACAGCTGCCTTCCAGGTACCTGGCTCCTGCCCTAGTCAGGTTCCCAAATCCCCACCCCGACATATTTCAGAGACCCTAGAGTAGCAGGATAGTCCTCTGGCTCCTCACCCCCTTGTGGGTCCATGATTCCTGGTCCCCAGGCTTACCACCTCCGTTGTGAAAACACAGATAAGGAAAGCGCCAGATGGTACTCAGTCCCACAGAAAAGCCCACCTGGGCCAGGAGGTACTCAATTTTATTGGCCCATGATGGTCGGTCAGTGGGGGCTTCCTCCTTTGGCTCATCATTGTCTATGGTCTCCAGTATTTCATCATTATCTTCATCAGACCAAATGTATGATGACACAGTGTCAAACTTCTGTTCCTCTGACATCGGTTCCTCAGTAATCAAATCAGACTTTAAGAGCTGGGAAGCTGAGGTAGTAGTAATCAGGGATTTGAAATCTGAAGGTCTAGAAATCTGGGGTCTCTCATCTTGGGCCTCCATGTTTTCACTAACAGATGTCATCCTGGATGGACTCTAGTTCCTGCTTCTGCAGGGATGGGGCTTCCTTCTCTGTTGACCTTAAGGACATCAAGAACTACAGACTTCAGATATATGAGCTAAGGAAAGACAAGATTCATCCTGCAAGAACCCCTGAGGCCTCCCAAACCCTTTCATCCTTATGTGGAGAAGAACATAGAGTCTCTACCCTTGAAAACATACCAAGAATATGTATGCTTCTAGAAAATAATAATTTTAAAACAATACTACTAACAATAATACCAAAAGCCATAAAATGTCTAGGAATAATTTTAACAAAAGATGAGCAAGGCCTTTACACACACAAACACACACAAGTGTACACACTAAAATATTACTGAGAGAAAATAAAATTAAGGGATATAAGATGTTTGTGAAATGGAAGTATAACAATGTCAATTATCCCCAATTTGATCTACAAATTCAATGCAATTCTTATTGAAATCACATCAGGGTTTTGGGGAAATTGACAAGCTGATTCTAAAATGTACATGAAAAGCAAAAGGCCTAGAATGGTTAATACAATCTTGACAAAGAAGAACCAAATGTAAAAACTAATTATAAAGCTATAGTAATTAAGAGAGTATGGTATTGGCACAGGGATCTATGGCACAAATGGGTCCATGGATCAATATACTGTACTGTTTAATATGGTAGCTACTAGCCACATACAGCTATTTAAATTAATTAAAATTAAGTAACATTAACAATTTAGTTCCTCAGTCATACTAGCCACATATCAAGTGCTCAGTAGCTACATGGCTACCATACTGGAAGGACAGATATCAAACATTTCCATTATCACAGAAAGTTCTGTGGATACTACTGGGAGAGTTCAGAAACACACAAATATAGATGCCTGATTTACAATAAAGATGGCACTGCAAAGTTGTAGAGAAAGGGCATTCTTTTCAATGAACACTGGTTGTTAGAGCAATTGGAAATCTACAGAGATAAATGAACCCTGGCCTCCCCAACTTCACATATTAAATAAAAATCTATTCAGAGAAGATCGAAGTTCTAAATGTAAAAGATAAAACAGTAACACTTCCAGATGAAAAACCTAGAAGAATACTGCATGACTTGGGTGTAGGCACAGATTTCTTAAATAGGACATAAAAAGCACCAACCATAAAGGAAAAGTTTGACACACTGGATTAAATTAAATATAGAAAATTCTTCAATGAAAACTTTGCATTAAATGAATAAACAGGGGCGCCTGGGTGGCTCAGTTGGTTAAGTGTCTGCCTTCGGCTCAGGTCATGATCCCAGGATCCTGGGACTGAGCCCTGCATCAGGCTCCCTGCTCCGCAGGGGGCCTGCTTCTCCCTCTCCTCCCGGTTCATGCTCTCTCTCGCAATCTCTGTCTCTCTCTCAAATAATAAATAAAATCATTTAAAAAAATAAATGAGTAAACAGACAAGCCCTGGAACAGTGGAAGATATTTGCAACATATATGGTAGACAGAATAATGCCCTTCTCCAAGATATTCACATCCTAATCCCTAGAACCTGTAAATATGTTAGCTTATGTGGAAAAAGTGACTTTTCAATGTGATTAAGTTATTGATCTTGAAATGAGATTATCCTGGATTATCTATGATGGGCCTAATGTAATTATAGGGTCCTTCTATGGGAAAAAGGGAGGTAGGAGACTCAGAATCCAAGGAGGAAATGAGATGGCAGGAGCAGAAGTTAGAGTGATGAACCTTGAATGTGGAAGAAGGGGCTGTGACTCAAGGAATGCTAGCTGGAAAAGGCTAGGAAATGGATTTTCCCCTAGATCCTATGTAAGGAACACAGGCATGCTAACACCGTGCTTTTAGCCCAGTGAAACAGATTTCAGATTTCTGACCTCCAGAACAGTACAATAATACATTTATGTTGTTTTAAGCCACTAAGTTTGTAGTTGTTAGAGCAATAGTAGGAAACTAACAAAACATATAACCAAAAAATGGCTGTTTCCCAAATAATATTTATAAAAAAGAAATACATACAAATAAATAAGAAAAGTAGACAAGTTAAAAAGTGGAAGAGAAGGAAGAGAAAGCTTGAACAAGCTTACTAATATATTAAATATACAAACTGATAACCATTGGAAATGGTGGTCATTACTCAACTTCACTGGTCACCAAGAAAATGTAAATAAAACCACAATGAGAATTGATGGATATATATGCAATAAATTGCATATAGTAAAATGTTAATTGTAGAACCTATGTTGATGGGTATATTGATGGTCACTGTATACATCTTCCAACTTTACTGTATGCCAACTAATAAAATGTTGGGAGGAAACCACAATGAGACCACTATATACCTACTAGATGAGTTAATATGAAAAAGTCTGATTAAACCAAATGATGGCACATGTGGAAACTTCTGGAACTCACATACACAGTTGGTAGAAGCATAGATTGGCACTACTTTAGAAAACTAGTTGAACATATCTATATGAACATATCTATATGTCTTTAAATATTTTCATATTTTATAATCCATTCCAAAGTGATCATCTAACAGAAGTGTATACATAAGTACACCAAAAACCATGTCCAAGAATGCTAATAGTTGTACTATTCATAACTGCCCAAACCTGGAAACAATACAAATCTCCCTCAACAGTAGAATGGATCAGTGCTAGTATATTCATATGATGGGTATGCAACAATAAAAACAGTGAATTGCTGATATGCACAACCTGGATGAATCTCAGAAATATTACTGTGAATGAAAGAAGCAAGGCAAAGAAGAGAACATACTATATAATTTCACTTATATGAAGTTCAAGAAGAGGCTAGACAAATTCATGGTGTCAGAAAGCCAGGATAGTGTACTTACATCGTGATAATTTATCTAATTATAATTATGATTTGCACATACTTCAAATGTGATACTTTAATGAAAGTTTATCTTAGGGGCAACCTGGCTGGCTCAGTTGGTAAAGCATGTGACTCTTGATCTCTGGGTTGTGAGCTTACTTTAAAAAAGTTTATCATAAAAATGAACATTGGAAAACAAACCAACCAAAACCCCTGGATTTCTATATAGTAATAATAAACAGAAAATAGATTTTAAAAAAGAAAGATAGCACTCACACAGCAACAAAAACTATATGGCATCAAGAAATACACCTAGGGCACCTGGGTGGCTCAGTCGGTTAAGCGACTGCTTTCGGTTCAGGTCATGATCCTGGAGTCCCGGGATCGAGTCCTGCATCGGGCTCCCTGCTTGGCGGGGAGTCTGCTTCTCCCTCTGACCCTCCCCCCTCTCATGTGCTCTCTCTCTCTCTCTCTCTCATTCTCAGTCTCTCAAAATAAATAAATAAATCTTAAAAAAAAAAAAAAAGAAATACACCTAAACATTAAACCAAGACCACAAATATGCAGAAAGATTCCATGTTCATGAATATAAATACTCAATACTATAAGGATGGAATTTCTCCCCAAAATTGATTTATAGATTCAATGCCATTTCAGTCAAAATCTCAATGTAATTTTTCATGAGAGCTAACAAGATTTTACAATTTATATAGAAGAATAAAGTGCTGAATATAATGAAGAGACTGCCACTAGTTCTTTGTCACCGGCCAAGATGGATAAAATAATGATACATGACCAGTGTCTCTCACTGATAACAGCTAAAATAGAATATAAGAAACAACAACCTGAGAGCTTTGAAAAGCAAACTGAAGGGAAAGAAGCAGACTGGGAAGTTAAGTTACAACCTGAATAGGGCGCCTGGGTGGCTCAGTTGGTTAAGCGACTGCCTTCAGCTCAGGTCATGATCCTGGAGTCCCGGGATCGAGTCCCACATCGGGCTCCCTGCTGAGCAGGGAGTCTGCTTCTCCCTCTGAACTTCTTCCCTCTCATGCTCTCTATCTCTCATTCTCTCTCTCTCAAATAAATAAATAAAATCTTTAAAAAAAAAGTTACAACCTGAATAATGACTTATAATGGGAGGAATGAGTTTCATATTTCTTTCCCCTCCTTTTTCCTGATCCAAGAATAAGCCAAACCAGGAAACTGTGCAATAAGCACCAACAGCAGAAACTCCAGGAGAAGCCTCTTTTTTTCCAAAGGACCAGGAAAAGAAGCTCCTATGCACCAGACAGTGTGTGTGTTGGGGGGGGTAGATACCGATTTTCCCTTCTCACCTCAGAGGCTCACCTCTGAACTACACAAGCAGAGAACAAATGTGAAGAAGTGCAACAAGGTTCTGACAACTGAACGATACAAACCACTGTCCAAGTCATAGACTGACCCCAGGGTGGCCCATGCTAATCCAAGTAGCACAGCAAAGCCTTTGAAGATTGAACTAAATTGTAACCAACACCCACAGAAGATATGACAAAACCTGCCATCTGAACTTACCCAGGCTGACGGCCTGCTAAAACAAATAAAGCAAACAAAACTCAACATTCTCCACAGGATTTAAAAAAATTTTTTTTTCTCCACAGGATATTAACATGATCCTGAGTTCACAACATAATATTAAAAATTCCCAGGATACAATCCAAAACTACTCATCATTTAAACACACACAGAGAAAAATCTGACCATTTCCCAAGGGAAAAGACAATTAACAGACGTCAACCCTAAGATGACCCAGATGATGGAATTTATTATTTTTAAAACTGCATATATTTTTACAGCTTTTTTGAGGTATTATAGACAATTAAGAAATGTATATATTTAAGGCATAATATGTAATGTTTTGATATATGTATACATTGTGATATGATCACCCCACAAAGTTAATTAATTTATCCCTCACCTCACAGTTATTATTTGTGTGTGTGTTAGAAACATTTAAGATCTACTCTCCTAGCAAATTTCAAGTATACAATACATTATTATTAACTATAGTCACCACGTTGCACATTAGGTCTCCAGAACTCATTCAGCTTATAATGGAAAGTTTGTTCCCTCTGACCAACAGACATCTCTGCATTTCCTCCACCCCTCATCCCCTGGTAACCATTCTTCTACTCTGTTTCTATGAATTTGACTTTTTTTAGATTCCACATATAATTGAGATCA